CTGCCCTAGACGCTGCAGTATCCCTCCTGCAAATTTTCAATAAGTCAAAAAATTGTGTTTTGTGAAAACGGTGTTTTAGAGTCGACTTCAACGCACATTCAGCCTGCATAGACATAAATTGATTTATAGCTCAAATATTCATCCACGAAATTAGAAACCTGGTAGATTAAAAAAAGCAACAGCTATGAAAATAAAGTGGCTTAAATTGTGGCTCATTTTTTATTGCACATAAGTACTTTTCAAACACAATGTATTGAAATATCCTTTTTCATCCCAGAATGAACGATATCATGTGTCCTTTTCCTGCCTGAAGTGTTTACAGAAATTTGAGTACTGCCCTGAAAGTTAAAAAAAAATGGGAGCAATCTATTAGGTTTTTTTTGTTGGAACTGGACAACCAAAAAATTTGTTCTCTAAGTAATAGAGAGACGAGCAATTAGTAGAAAAGGAAGTGTTACACAGACACTGAACCCAAGCTAGTATCCTTCCTCTGCCTTCCAGTTTGACCGTGGTTGGATACTCGTTGAAGTGTGTGTTTTAAAAACTGAGAGAATGAGGTGTTTAGGAAAAAAGGGAGTCTGCTGCCACTGGCAGCTTGCATGCCTAGCAAATGTGTTCTTTTTGTGTGTGGATTACCTTCAGGGGTAACTTTCAAGACATGACATAATGTCGAGGTGTTAAGAAACTGGAGATCTTGTGCTCCTCCACTGTAGAAATTTTGATGTAACAAGAATTGTGACAGCAAAGCCTCAAACTCTTGAACGCCACTCTGTTATACCGAGGTTTAGCCCTATTGGCTTCGAGCTCTGTTGGAGTTGGTCACTGAGAGGCGTGTGGCAGGCACTCAGGGAAGCTAGGCACTTTAGCTGTGTACTTTTCCCAAAGAAAGATATTTTGGAATGTGAAACTTTTCGTGGGATACCCTGACCATACAGTTGAGTTGTGGGGGACAGCTTAACCTCCTCTTCTCACGAAATGACTGTTATCACACCATGTTGACCTTTTGATCATTTATTCAATTTAGGGTTGTGCAAGTAACAGGAGGGGATTATAAGTGAACTGGCATTCAACAGTCATCAGGCCGCTGGCCCTTGGCTTGCAAGCCCTCTTCCACTGAATTGTAATAAACCTAGACATGTCTAGCAAACAAGTTGTTAAAGGCTAACAGTTACTGCATTTTGTTGATTGCATGGGCATATGTGAAGCCGTGCATCATTCTCTCTTGTAATAGCAGTGTTGATGGATAGGAGTTTGGGTAGTTTGAAGTCGTGTTTCGGTTCGTGAGAAATGCCTAGCTGCTCTGACTATTTCGGCAAATGGGGTGGTGATGCTGGTTGGGCATTGCAAGGAGGACATCGGGGGGGTCTGGCGGCATTGATTTATGCCACACTGAAGTTAAGAGCAGGCTTGCTGGTTAAGACCATCTGGCTATGGGTACCCTATCTGGGAGCAGTGGCCGAACGTCTGCCTGAAGGGATTTGGTCCTGAGCAGAGCTGGCGACTGAGGTTCTTTGGGTTATTGTACACCCCTTGTCGCATTTTTCTTCTAACTTTTGGTCAGGTCAAAGGGTTGGGTTGGTTCGCTTCAAAACAGTAGCGATGTACGATTGGCAGGCAGGGTGTTGGCTCCAAGCAAGAAAAGACTCGAGAAAACACAACTTGAGAAAAGTGATAAAATTTTTCCTATAAAATTTGCCCAGTTACTGGCTAACGGTGAGACAGAGAAGGGATGCAGGGTGTACTTTCCCAGAGCGACGTGCCAGGAACAGCTGCAGCCAGAGAAGGGAAGTATCTGGAGGGGAGAAGACGGGGGTGCAGCACCATACAGCTACCGGGGCCCCACGTGCATGGCTTGAGAAGGGTCGGGCGGGGGGGGGGGGGGGGGGGTCTGTGCACACCCGGGTAAGAGCGCCGCCATCTTAACTGCTGCCACACTAGGACCATCCAAATAACGGTTTGCCCTCTATCCGTGCGTGTGTGTGTATGTGTGTGTCTGCGTGGCTGTTTGCGGTGGTTTTGTTGCGTGTGTTCAGGTGAGTATGTAGGTTTCTTTACTTTTTTGAAGGTTGCTGTAGCCAGCACTTGCAAGCTTGTTTCTTGGCCCAGTTCCCTCACTCGGTTGACGCATTTGAGGCTCCCCAAGTGTCAGGACCTGTGCACTCCTCTCTAGTGTTTTGCATACTGACTCTGCATGCCTCTGTGTGGATGAAGGGCGTCACGATGGCTGCCTTGCCTCGTCCCCCCTCCCACCCCTTCGCCTGTTCGGTGTGTGTGTTCATGGGGCTGGTCCTACCCACTCAACCCCTGAGCAGCCGTGCAGCCCCCTCGCCAAGGGGTACCCTCGACAGGGACTCAACCTCTCTGAATTGCATGGGGCACTTGCCAGTGGCAGAAGCGTCCAGGGGGCACGCTGATCTCTGGGCGGGATCATGGGGGAGGAAACCAGGGAATCCAGCCTTCGATGTGCAGTGACGCCACTGTGCCTTTCGGTCTAAGGGTTGGCTCGAATCCCTTCCTGCCATAGTCTCCTAATGAACTGTGGCATTATGTGGCATTACTGTAGACAGTACACATTATTACGTTCTGCATTATGTCTGTTTACTGCGTTTTTGCAGGGAACGCTTGGGGAAGATCTCTTCATCTTTTTGGCTTTTTGTAGATCTGCAGCTGCTCGACGTATTCAGTGTAGCTCCCTTATTGCAACCGGACTGGAAGCAGACGCGTTTCATGCTTGTTTTGCTTTTCGTGGGGACCTGGCAAAAATTGAGCATACTATCAGACTTGCATGCTTTGTGAATGGCCCACTTGAGTGAGATTTCAGGTATACGTGTTGGGGGGGGTGGGGGGCAAGTACGACCTAGGGTGCTGCCATCTTGCTCGCTTGGGGTGTGCTTGGACGCGTCATAATCTGATTACGTAATCGGATTATGACGCGCCCAAGCACACCCCAAGCGAGCAAGATGGCAGCACCCCGAGGCCCTGCTTGCAAGCATGTATAGAGTACTGTTTCATTTTGAACCAGTGCTTGGTTTTCTACTGTGCAAGGGTAATGATGTCTGTGGTGTCATTAATGCAATTTTTCCTTGTAAACATGAATTAGAGTGCTGTTCACAGCATCAAACCAATTACTTGCAATATAAACAATGTTTTGCCAATGACTGAACAATAATAAAAAAAAAGAATTTGAGGTGAAGTAATAATTTCTTTCAGATCACATTATTGACTGTGGCAAGCGTCAGGTACGGAGTGTAAGGTGATAGTGAGCGAATTAATTGCCTAAAATCCCCTAATTCTGAAATATTTACATTAGCTGACAGATTCCAATTAGAGATTGGTTGTCTATCGTCAAAACATGCCATGGCTGCTGTTAGGATTCAGACAGCTAAATTCTGCTCCAAACTATTCTGAAGTTCAAGTTTGACATTATCTCCAGTTCTTAAAAACTGCCCATAAATTTTTTTTCTACAAATGATAGTAAAAAGCTTTGTGTAGCCCAAGGCTTCAGAGTTTTTTTAGACTTTAAATGGAAAATGCTTGAAATGTATCTCAATGTTAATGTTCAAAAAAGAATAAAGACTGATTTACCAGTCGAGCTCCAAGAGCAACATTTCCATTGTACATTCAATTTCATTTCGAAAGGCCTTCAACTCGTGTTGTGCGATAGGTTGATATGTAATTAGCGTCGAGTTTGGGACTCTAGGGTAGCATAGACAGATTTTTTCTACCCTGCCCTAGATAGGTCACCTTCGGGAGTTATTTGAATGGTTTACTGTTTATTTGTCCACGTAAAGATCCTTCCTCAAGAGAGCGAGGCCAATTTCCATCCTTTATATTTCTTTCAGATCGCTTTGCTCGAGAAAACCTTGTTGTTGAGGTACATAGTCTGGTTAACATAAACTGGCCGAGTGCTGTGAAAACCAAGGCCACCACTTATGAGCCTTCGGTTTAGTTGTTTGCAAAACCTGGTCTAAAATACTATATCGTCCGAATTTCAGGATCACATTTTGTGTTCTCTGAATTTTTGAGAGCAACACAGTAGGTTTTGACAGTAACTACATAGCAAGTTTTAAGAGGAACAACAAAAATGTTGGAAGTGCACACCTGAACCCTTGAGATCTTTGCTCTATGGGAATCCTTTGATTTTGAGACTATACTGCTTGAGGTCCAGCAGCTCTTTCTTTATGGTACCTAGCTCTTCAGCAAGCTGCTTATCTTCAGCCTTGAGAGTTGTCTGTTCAGCCTTTAGTTCCTCTGTCTCCTGTACACTTGTAGCCAAGTATGTTTTTCAATCTTCTAACTTTATTTATGAAGTCCATTGACTGATTTAGGGCTTCTATTTCTGTGCCTAACCTTGTCTTCCTAGCACTTGTTTCTTGGCTTAAATTTGTATTTATAGCATCCAGTTTTGCAGAAACTTTTATTTGGCTTAGGCCTTTGCCAGTTCCTTTACAGTTCTAGGTTGTATTTCAACCATATTCATTTTTTGTAACAAAGAAACAATCAACAGGTTTGTTTGTGGGCTTGGGACTGGCTCCAGTTAAGAAAACATAGTTTCAGGTTACAAGTGGGGAATGTCTCGACAGACCACCTTCGTGGCTTGGAGGTTTTGCATGAGCCCTCGGAGCATATGTGCAAGGTTCAAACGCCGAACTGTCACTTCCTCAAGGAATCTTTTGGGCGTTGCTCGTAGCCTTAGTTGCTTCGTGACAAAGGAAAATGCTGGCATTTGATGGGTGACGTAGCACTGCTTTGAGAAATGATGACTCGTGGTTAAAGGCTGGGGTTGCATGGTTGCTCAGGGTGCGAAGGGAGCCAAAAGATTGTCAATATTTGAAGATGCCTTCCTGGGATTTCGCATGGTGGGGACGAGCCTCAAATGCCCGTCTGGGCAGTCTTTTCGTGGAGCATATTACCAAGATGTGCCCTTTGGACTTGAATGAAGCTTTTGGCTCCTGTATTGACTAATGCACAACCCACTGATGAGTTCTGCCTGGGAACAGGAGACTCCCGGGTGCCTGGGGCCCAGCTCAACACGTACGAGATGGCCTTTGCCATTGCGGGCCCCATCTGCCTCCTTTGCATCGTTTTGCTGGTGGCGGTGTCACTATGGCAGCAGCGGCGGCGGCACTTTCGCTACGAGGTGGACAGCAGCCTCGAGAGCGAGCCCATTCTCCTACCACAGGGACAAACCATCAAGGACATGATGGAGATGACCACCTCGGGCTCTGGGTCGGGTGAGTGCTCGGTGCAGAGCCACACGGTGCCGATGTATCGGCCAGGGTGGTCGGCCATGGGCATGCCGTTTACCTGCTTGCCGAAACCCAATGGCACTCGCACAGGTGGAGATTGGGGAACAGTGATACATTAACGGCGGTGGAGTACAGGGGGCTGTGAGCAGGCACGACGAAGTTTGGTTCAAAGCAATAAAAGCACCTTGTGGAGAGCCCGGATGGGTTGAGCTGTTGGAAGGAGGTTGTAAGGGACTGCCACTATTCTCTTCTGAATTGTACCAGTCCATTCCATGGCGTTGCATGCAAATGGCGCCACATGCGGCATGTTACCCCATCTGCTAATACTTGGTTTTGCCAGCTCATATTGCCGCCCACTGTGCTGCCTGGCACCAATAGGGCCACCATGTGGCTTAACGCTGCTGAAGGTGCTGCTTTGCATAGCGGACATGTTCTGATTTGTACGCTGCTCATTACATGTACCATATTTTCCAAATTATAGTCGGTAGGGGCTGGTTTCAACTAAGAAAAAATATTTTTCTTAGCTCGCACCCGGTGCATAGTCTGCACGCTGTGCAGTCTGCACTTAGTGCCCAGTCTGAACTTAAAAATCATACACAGCACATCTTGACAAATGTCTGCTGTATTAGCTCACAAAGGAGCTTGTATCATCCAGAAATCACCATTAATATACTTTGTTATTAAAAAAAATCTTCACGCCTTGTCACAGTGATTGATCTAGAAAAACACAAAACCATGTATAGTCTGCAGACTATACACCAGAAAATACAATAATCATATTGCTTGTAATCAATTGCTTTTTGGGGTAGTTTTGTTATCACTTGATTACTTTTATTAGGTAGTAATCGCAAGAGTAATTTTATTACTTTTAGAAGTAATAACATTACTTGTAACCATTACGTTTTTTTTTAACTACCCTTCTTGGTGTCTGACATAGGTGTAGACTACGGGGGGGCATTGGGGCTCGTGCCCCCCCTGGTGAATTCGGGGGGACAGAGCCCCCCCCCCCCCCCCCCCGGGCCCGGGCCGTGATCCTTACCAAGACGCTGTTTACGTGCCATGTAACGAGCTTCTAGTAGCAACATGTGAACAAAATAACACCCACGTTGCCTTTATTGACAAAATACATGAGAAATGGAATTCCGGCGTGCTTTCGTTAGCTTCCAGTTCTGTCTTGAAGGAAACGCGCAGCACCCCCCCCCCCCCCCCCCCCCCCCCCCCCCCACCACAAGGAGAACTCAGCCTGCCCCTCCCGGGAAAATGGAAAGTCTACACCGCTGGTGTCTGAGTTTATGACTACTTAGTCACCAGCTTGTTACCGAGTTGTACGAAAGGAGATCAGTCTTTTTGTCTGCTCAGTTTATATAGTGGTTTGTTGGGTTTCAAGCTGACACTGTGAAGTCTGACTTGTTGACTAAAGCCTTTCAGTACAAAGGTGGATGCCTAATGCAGCATTTTCATCTTTATTCACCATTCAAACTCTTCTCCCCTCAAAAAAAAATCTAAATACGGCTCAAAGCACCTCTATGCTCTGATGCACCCAGAGATAACCAAAACCAGATAATGTTGCAGCTAAGGTGTGACAAAAACAAAACAAAACAAAAAAAACTCATTCACATGTAAGATAAATGGCCAGCATTCCACAAGAATGCTCCATTTTCTGAATTTAAGTTTTTGAGTGCTTTCTTTGTGTAAAAAGCTGTTTATAGTCCAACGTCCATGAATGCAATGTGAGCCGGCGCAGACTGATGTTCGTTGGCCACTGTGCCACGTCACACCACGCCGAGAAGTGCCCGAACAACCGTGTTTACAGTCCAGCGTTGACCAGTGCGGTCCAACGCGCCCCGGCGAACTGCCCCACTTTGCACCTGCGTGTCGCCTTGGCCATTACATCGTCTCTACACCATATTTCCGCATCCTGGTTGGTATCAACCATGCAATCGGTCAGTGTGATTTGTCCTTGTCGTATAGCCAAGCTTCAAAACAGCGATTCGAGGCAGTGGTTAGCAGTTTAAAAACAAGCAAATGATGGGAGGTAGCGAGTGCAAACCAACATTTATGTTCTCTGAAACGTCACACAAATGTCGACGGAAAAACAAAAAATCACAATATCGCTTCCATCAAAGCTAGCCTCTTGGCAGGTTCGCAGAGGTCGTGCCAAGCGACTCCTGTGATTCCGCCGGGATGCTTCGATGAAATTGATGCACTAGATATTCTACAGCGACCTCCTTTTTGACAGATGGCCAGTGTGTTATCGTTATAGTAGACTTTCACGTTAACCCAAGTAACTGACACCAGAGAGAGTGAACGATTCCTAAATTATGCATTGTATGCGTTTGAAATTGTAGCGCATTTCACAGAGCCCATACAAACAATACAGGATTCAGACCAATTTTTATCGTATGCTGCTACTATCATTTACAAGCTGAGACACCCCAGTTGCAAATTTTTGGCCGGCTAAATAGTTTGGGTGCTTCACTGGATCCGCCGTTTCCGTTCATTCAACGGCACTTGTAGTTTCGATCAAGAACAGCTGCCGGTGCGTATGACTAGCACATGATCATATATAGCACACAGATTAGGTCATACTTAATTGTAATTAGCTCTACCTGTGGCACGTCATTGAGCTTCCAGCTTTTGCTGGCACTTCACCACCACCGGTTAGTTAGGCGTATAGGCCTAATGAGCCTCGGGGGTAGCGCATCCTCGGAGCAGTCCACATCCATGTGCACTCTCGCCCAGCCGAGTGCACGTACGTTAACTATGCACGCCAACACGGGAACACGAGAACAGCACACGACACACGGCAAGAATGGCAGCTTCAGGTCGCAGAAATGAGTTCCTCGCACACTCCGACTTGCCCCAACATCAGGAATCCCGAATGGGGTGCTTGCGCGGGGGCTTCTGGGACAGCCACCATCGTCGACGACGCAAATAGAGCATGCTTGATTTCGTCGTGAGCTACGCTGACGCGCACTGGGCTACGCCGTATTGCGCATGACGACTGAGTATAGACCCCCGTTCGTAGCCGGTGTCGGCCAACGCGATCGGGCGCATGCGCTCGTCGACGTTGTGACAGAGTATAAACATCACTTAAAGTTGTGTGAGCATGGCACAAGTCATTTCAAATGTTCCATTGAGCGACAGTGCTAAATCCTGTTTGCTCCTTTTAACTATTGTGGCCTTGATTAAACTCCCGAAACATTGCCTTTTTGCCTATTTTAGCTCATTTTTTGCGTCCAAGTTCGTACAAAAAGGTGTTTCCCCTTGTTTTCGTAGTAATGGCACCTTTTGTGTCTGCCATGGAATCCTCGAACCAAGCCTCTGACAGGGAGATGGTCTACCAGAAGTGGTGGATTAAGATGAGTAGTTTGTCATCCGGTGATTATAATCTAATAATAGACAGTACGAAAGACCCATTTTCAAACCTGCAGAAAAATCGGCTGTTTTGGAAATCTGAAGTATTCTGAGAAATAATGGTTACTTTTTTCAGAAATGGCCAATTACGTTTCCTTTCAAATAATCAAGTAATCTGATTGAATACTTTTTAGCCAAGTAACTGTAATTGTAATCAATTACTTTCTTGGGTAACGTGTTCAAGACTGGGCATATCTAATGAATGCTCCATGAAGCTTGGTGTATGCGGGCACATATAATAAATGCTCCATGAGGATTGCTGTATGTGCAGCATTACAAGCAGGGCAGCTGCCATTGAGCTTGGAAAGATGCAAAGATAATGCAGAGCTAATGACCAGGAAGATCCTGTGCATTTCATGACTCAGTGGGTATATTGGCAAGCAGTCGACTTCTGACACACCTGACTATGTGGTGGTGATATATGCCAAGTCACTGTAGCGCTCTTGGGCCTGAGGGTGGTTTGTTTGATCTGTACAATACATTGTTCAATGTACGGTTCCACTGTAACATTTAGGCTAACTTTGGATTCTTGACAGCTTCCAGGACTTAATGAGAGATTGTTAGGTAAAACTGTCCTGTTCAGTTGACACTGCATACTTATAAGGCTGGAACAATGTCTTTGGGAACAGCAAACCTTCTGTAGGGGCTAGTTAGTTTGGCATACTTTTGAATGGAATGTGTGCTGCTTAGAAGTTAAAAGGCAAAAAAATGAGGGAGAAAACTGGGAATTGACACACACATATATGCATAAAAATTCGGCAAAGACTCTTAAGACTCCTTACGTGCAGGAATGCAAAAGCATTCCTTCATGCAGCACATTCCTACAAAGCAGCATGCCACTTCTTCCTTTCGCACACGGCGTTCTGGCAGTAATATTACGCTCCCCAACTGCGCAGGCGTGGTGAACCCCGCTGGCTTCACAACGGCTTCCATGACGAAGCCTTGCGTTGCTGTACTTTTCTTTGTGTTTTATTTCTTAGGCACGTCCGCTTTGACCTTAAGTGCACCTGCCGGTTGCCATGACGAAGCATCTGCGTGGCTGTGCTTTTCTGTGTGTTTTATTGGGAATGGGGAATTTAGGTGTTGTTTTGCTCAGCCAATGGGAATTTAGGTGCCATTTCGCTCAGCCAAAGGGAATTTAGGTGCCATTTTTCGCTGCTAAAGACAATGCCGGCTTCGCTCCATGGGACAGCTAATGCTTTCGCATTACTGAAGTACAGCCCCATAGTACAGCGTTGAAGCGTAGGCCTCGCAGGGCTGCATTAACACAGCCTAGTGAGGCCTACTCTTTAGCCTTGAAAAGCACTTTAACAGACATGACCTCTTTCTTCTATTAAGATTGCACACAAAGCTTTATGTGCCTGCAATTTAGATTACCTTTAAACTCAAAAAGAGATGTAGATATTACATTCACATTCATAGCCCCAGTTGCCACAATTAACAAATTGCTCTAGTGTACTCTCTCATTCTTGCTTTGTTGCCTTGCCCATGCCTGCGTGAGCAAGGCATGAAGCCACTATGGTGTCTTCATGCGGCTACTTCGTTCAGGTACATCGGGGGGTGTGGTGAGAAAATAGAGTTCTCGTACCATTTTATGGTCCTATTTCTCCGGGGCTTGCACTTAATGTGTTCTGCTGATGTGAGCCAAGAAGGCAGCCCACGGCGCAGCAGTCTCGTGTCCAAAGGTATTTCAAAAGGGTGCTGTTACCTTTGCGAATGTTCTCGTTGCTTGACTGGTGGGGCAGTTCGATTTAAAGCTGGTTCACACATTTGCGCTTGACTGATAAAGTGTGTTGCATACCCTAGTAGCCTATTTTAATGCACTGGTGCCATCCATCGCTAGCCCCTGAACACTTTTGACTTACTCATAATTAGACTGAAGATTTTGCAGCATTTGCAAAATGAAATCAATGAATGAGAAATGGCTGCCTATAGCCTGTTTATATAAAAATAAATACAGAGTTCAAAAGTGTTTTGGTGCTCCCCGATAGATGGTGCCAGTATGTTAGGTGGTTATAACTGGGAACACAATGCCCTTGATCCCAGTCTAGTGCGAACTAGTAAACCAGCCTTTAGAGTGGTGCCTGTGGGGTCTTGTGCAGGGTTGCCCCTGCTGGTGCAGAGGAGCATAGCTCGCCAGATTCAGCTGGTGGAAATCATTGGAAAAGGTCGCTACGGGGAAGTTTGGCGAGGCCGGTGGCGTGGCGAGTCTGTGGCAGTCAAGATCTTTTCTTCGCGAGATGAACGCTCCTGGTTCCGAGAAGTCGAGATCTACCAGACGGTGATGCTCAGACATGACAACATCTTGGGCTTCATTGCGGCTGACAATAAAGGTGAGTTCTGCCTGACGTGGAGATTGCCCGATGCAGTAGACGCATGGCGGAAACGGCAGGCGTGGGCTGCCCGGCAAAGCAGAAATATTTTGAGCCCTGCTGTTTTTTATTTGAGCATCTTGCTCCCACGGCAAACATCCCACTATAGCGTCCTCGCTCGAGAGCACCCTTCGAAACATCGCCCATTCCTTTCTTTTAAAGGGAAACTTAAAAAATTACTGAGTTATGAATGGCCCTGTGTACCTTTTTGTATCCTGAATTTGGTTACTGTGCTTAAATTGGGCTGACTTTAGCATAAAGCACTTTTATTTTGGAAAAACATTGGGCCATTGCCGCTGGGCGTGTGGTGAACCCAAGGTTCGTACAGCTCCTTGAAATCCTTGAATACCCTGGATCTCATTAGAAGCCTTTTGAGGGCCCTTAAATATCCTTGAAAGTTGAAATGATCCTTTTATTCCTTGAAAATCCTCCAACAAATGCGTAAATGGGACCGCGTCGTCTGGCAACATGGCATGTCGTTTTTACTGAAGGATACAGCCAATCCAATCGAAAGTGTCCCGTGTCATCGCCATTTTTGTTTTTTGTTGAGTGTGTTGAGGATCGTGTTGGCGAGTGTGAGACACTTTCAATTGAGATTGAAAGCCAAAATGCCGGGTGGAAAGTGTAGGTTCCAGCCTTCTTGGCTGGAACACAAAGGTATCATCAGTGGATGAGACGAGATACAAATGACTTTTTCCGAGCGAAGTGCGCAATTTTTTGAAAGTCGATTGGTGTCACCACAATGGGTGAAAGCGCTTTGAAGAGTCATTTCAATAGCGCAAAACATAGATCTGGAGCTGAGTCAGCTGCTTCCAGCTCGTCTATCGCCTCTTATCTTCTGGCATCAGACTTGGTGCCGGATACCCCAGGCACCAGCGTGCAGGTGTAAGTACCTCACAAGCTGCGACCGTTGACACGGATTGTCGGCAGCACGAAATGGTTGTTGAAGCCGAGATTTTGTGGACAATGAAGGCTGTGTTGTCTCACTACTCCTACAGCTCTTTTCGAATTGTGCAACAGAGACAATACTGAAAAACAGCAAGGCGAGCCCTAAATGCATTCTTGAGTATAGATTTGAGTGTCGCAAGCTTCTGGTGTAATTGACATTGAAGCTTCTTGAATAAAGTCCTCTCAAGTACCCAATTGCCTGTCCTGCTTTGATCTCGGAGAAATGTCGAAAACAAAAAGACGCCTCGGGAAGCTCAAAGTTGTTTTGAATTGAGGGACCTGGTTTGTGGGCAGTATGTCAATTTTTGTCACGAGGTCCGACATGGACTGCAAGGCTACGAAAGAGGCAAAGAGCGTATTGATAAGTTTTTTGTGCGCCTAACGAAGTACGACACTTCCTTTTCCACACTGTGGGAAGCACTAAAGCTGCTCCTTCTGCTCAGTCATGGCTAAGCTTCTGTAGAAAGAGGTTTTAGTGTTAACAAACAGATTGCTGTTGAAAACTTGGCAGAGATTTCGTGTGTTTCTCAGCGGATCATCTTCAACGCTATCAAAAACCACGGTGGCCTGCTCAATATTCTACTGTCGAAGAAGTTAAAGTCCTCCGTACGCCTTGCAAGGTTGAAGTATGTTGCGTACTTAGAAGAGAAGAAGAAAAAAGCAGCCTGTGAGCAGAAAATTTTGAAGAGAAAAGCAGTTGAAATGGAGCTGGAGGGAGTGCATGATAGGAAGTTTAAACTCCAGAAAACTCTGAAGTGCCTGCTCGAGTCGGCGGATTGCTTCTCAGATGCTGAGGCGAAGAATGACTTGACATTTTTGGCCAAGGCCAATAGTTTTCGCTGAACAGCAAAAGAAAAGGAAGCAGCTATAGCTGCTGTAGAATCAGAAATTCTTGCTAAAAACAGCTTATTTCTTAACTCGTCAATAAATAAATTTCTTCGAACCTTTCTTGAATTTTGCCTTCTGATTCCCTTGAAATCCTTGAAAAGTCCTTGAATTTTGCATCAAAAATTCTGTACGAACCCTGGGTGAACCTCACCTGTTATCCGTCAGTTGCGTTGTGATGTTATCGTCGGCATCTTGGAGCCAGTTAGGGAGGGTCACCTGACACTGCTTTTGCTACTTTTCCTTTTTTCTCCTTTCCTCTCCTACACTCGGCTGAGAGCAGGAGCAGGAGCTGCAGCGAAATTGCAGTTTGCGATTACGTATTTTCTACTATAATAACACAGAATAAAAACCTCTCGCAGGTTTAATTTAATTTAATTTAATTTATTCTACCTTAAAGGCCCCGAGGGGCATTATTACATAAGGGGGGAAATTTATAGCACATTCAGATGGAAAACAAGGTTTATAGAAAGGTAGAAAACAAAAAAAACAGAACAGTTGCGTATATCCAGACTCTTGCAACTTTTTCGAATTCGAAACTGCTTAAATCTTTTTTTTTAAGACAATATATTGATTTTTTAGAAATGCTTCGAGACGTTGCTCACTCGTCTAAAGTCATTGTGGAAGCTGTTCAAGCCTGTTCCTAGTCCAAAACTTTCTGCACAAAAATCTATTAAAACTAGAGCAAGTTGTGCGACATGGCAACAGACAGTGTGCTTTTTTGTGCCATGAAAAATATACTGTACCAACTCGTGAAGTGGAGACATTTTAAATCTTGTCATTGTCATGGTGTGTGGGCCGACAATAGTTATGCAATCCATTCCAAGCTAAAAATGCTGGTGGCAAAATGCATGTTTTTAGAGCCCCAGACATATCCGCACATTTACTCTCCCCTTCCCTACATTGGTCCTCCAACTTGTCGGCCAACCCTCTTATTGGTATGAGCTTGAGACCCCTAGCCTAAGCGATTCTATGTATACAGTCGACCGATTTTTCGGACTCGGAGGGGACCCCGAAATTGTCCAAATAATTAAGCGGTCCAAAAAATCGATTTCAGTCAAAATATCACATTTCCACGCACATTCCGCTGCATATTGGCCACTTTCCACTTGCTTGATTTCAATTTTAAGTTCTCATGCTACTTGCCCTTTATATTGTTCACTTCTCACTTGTTTGTTCATCTGTTAGATCATGGTGCTGCGCTTTGTCGGCGCTTTCGTTGGCACGAACGGCGAAGTTGAAGTTGGTGCCATTTTGCACTATTTGGAGACAACGTTTAGTCCACCAAGGTCACTTCAATACTAAGCCTATCGGCAAAAAACCTTTGCGCTCAAAAACCACCACAAGAACGGCACATGGCCGTTCTTCTCGCGGTCGCACTCAAAAAACACTGGCCACGAGATAAAAACTGGAAAAGCAATAAGAATGGGCAGGCAGCGGCCATGTTGGCTATAGCGGGACCGAAAAACCCGACTATAGCCTCAACCCAGCTTTTTTTTATTGCGTAGGACGTGATATCGAGGCTACAGGGCAAAATCGCAGTGGCTGTTTTGGGGCTGTAAACTGAGTAAATCACACATATTATGTCCGAAATATCGAACAATAAGCTTTATGGCATCAGAAATTTTGGTCACTGTTGTATGTGAACTCTATGGGGTGAGTGATGGTTCGGCGAAAACGTCCGAGTAATCGGTGTTCAGAAAATTGGTTGGTGACTGTAATGGGGTAAAATATTTGTCTCATTTGCAGTCTACTGAAGCTTGTGCAATTGGCTTTTGCTTGTTTGGCAGACAATGGGACCTGGACACAACTGTGGCTGATCACAGATTACCACGAGAATGGGTCGCTGTTTGATTACCTGACAAGGATCCCCGTCGACACGAGCACCATGTGCAAGATGGCCTACTCGATTGCAAATGGGCTAGCACACCTGCACATGGAGATCCTGGGCACGCAGGGTGAGTGTGGCCGGAGGGAGGGCCGTCGCCTGCCAGACGACTTTCTCGGTCCTTTTCACCAGACGTCCTTTCCACAAAAAGCTGTTCTACTAAAGGAGCTGCCGCCACACGCCAGCAAAAGGCTGCTACCGGCGTCGTTGCCTGCTTTGGGGCTGACTGCTTCATTTCACCGAAACTTAGCAGTGAGCGAATGTTACGGCCCCTTTCAAGCCAATGGGAGCGACGGAGGCAAGGCACATGACACCCTTTACCAAAGATACAAGGGCAAGAGTGTAACAGAAGCAGTTGGAGAAGAGGGGAGGGGGGAACTCTTCTTTTAACCAAAACCCTCTTTTACGTGTCCCAGACGTGGCTATCCTCCCCCTTGTAGATAAGCCAGTCACTCAATATTCGTACAAAGGCGGCTTTTCTCTCTCTCTTGCCCATGACTTTGACAGCACTGGCCAAGCTAGTGAGGTAGGGTATAGTCATGCGTCTTCCTCCGATGTGCTCAATGGCTCGAACGGGCCGTAGCATTTTGCTCTTTGCCAAGTTATGGTGAAACAAGGTATAGCAGTTCAAACCCAGACTAGATTGTAGTATTACAACGTTCTTAGAACTGTCTAAGACATCACAAGTGGGCAGTGTTACTTTTACTAACAAATTTTGAAGTGCCACGTAATTGAAATGACATTCGCTAGGAGTTTTCACGTCATAATCAGATTTGAACGTGCAGCTGTCAGAAATTTTTGGGTATGCCTGGCAACCGCGAGAGTGTTTAAAATTATTGACCCCTTTCGTGGAGACTTAAAAAATGGAAACATTGCAGAGATGTGCGAATATTTGAAGCTTCGTATAATTCGAGAACAGGGTTTGCTGTTCGATTCGATTTGCAGTGCACTTTTACTGCTCAAAGCATGAAAGTTTTTTGTGACAATTGCGAATAATGTCTTAGAATTCCCCAGTTTCTTCTGTCAAGCTTCACTACTTTGCACCAGCGCTCTGTCTTCAATCTTCACCACTTTGCACTGGTGCATGCACGTCAAGCTTCACTGATGTGTGCCTGTGTGCTGGGAGAAACGGCTGACTTGTCCGAGTATCTCGGTTGACTCAATGATCTCAGAATTTTGCTCACTGTTAGAGGTCAGCTATGCATAGATATCTGGGCCAGCTTGCTAGGACAGCGTCTGAGCTGAGACTGGGTGAAAGAAAGTACTGCAAAGGCTGGGGCACGCGAGCGTTTTGAGGCTCGGTTTGACTCGGCTCATGTGCTGGCTTTGGCACTGCTTTTGTTTCCCCCAGCCTCAGCTGAGATGCTGTTTCTGGCAAAAGCCAGCCCTGATACTAAAGGACAGTGCCAGGAAAGAAACCTCGAGCTATATTCAAATAGATAGGAAAGTGGGGCAATCTCTGAGGTGATGCAGTAGTGGGCCAACTTGTGGCAATGGTGAAGCAAGCTTCAAGCACTTTGCCTCATTCCAAAAATAAAGTTACGGTATATACTAGTATCTTGGGTCCAAATAGGGAACATATCAGGTGTTAAGCTGATGAGAAGATTTAGACTATTTTAAATCAATAAAGTAGTCATTGCTTTGCTTGTCACATTGTGTGTTTTACTCAACACATCTTATCAGGGCCTTTTTTTTCTTAATTAAAGTCTGTCAAATGTTTCTCATGGAATTAAACTGTTCCTTTTCATAGATATACTTCCTTGAAAATATGTCCAGCTGTGATTTCCTAAAGTATCTATACTTAATTAAAGCTACCGTATTTACTCGCATATTGGTCGATACGTCGTATAGGTCGACCCCCTAACTTCGGGACCCCCGAAAAAAAAAAAAAAAAGTTGAAAAATATAATACCGGGATTTGCGTATTGGTCGACCCCCCAGTTTTGATGAGGCGATTTTTGAAAAACAGGTCGACCTATACGCGAGTAAATACGGTAAATGTAAAATATTTGTACTAAAAAACTATACAAATTTGGTTTGCAGTCAAATTTTGTGCCTACACGCACCAGCAGTGCCCTTGGTGCCTACTGTCGAGACTATTTCTTTTCGCATATAAAGGTTGTTGGCTAGCTCGTTTCCCGAAAATGCCATCTTAGGAGAAAAGCCATTTACGGTGTAGCACGACCTCTTTTTTCCTTTTGGGAGAAGGTCCTTTAAAAGAGCTTTGGTAGTCCGTCTGACGTGGGTACAAAGCGAGTGAGACCTGAGGAAGGTGCGTTTGTGCAGGCAAGCCGGCCATTGCCCACCGGGACATGAAGAGCAAGAACATCCTGGTGAAGTGCAACGGGACGTGCGCCATTGCGGACCTGGGCCTGGCGGTGCGCTACGACTCGGCTAGCAACACGGTGGACATTCCGCCCAACCCGCGCGTGGGCACCAAGCGCTACCTGGCCCCCGAGGTGCTCGACGAGACCATCAACATGAACCACTTTGACTCATTCAAGCGGGCCGACATCTACGCATTCGGCCTGGTACTCTGGGAGCTGGCTCGGCGGTGTAGCATTGGCGGTGAGCGTCCACTTCCTGGCACCCGCTGGAATTAATCGGCCGGGTCACGGGGCGGTCCAAGTTGGGAAACCTCGGGGGACTCTCTACCGCTTCTTTATTATTTATTCGCATAACGATACTGCAGACCCTGAGGGGGTTCAAACACAAAGGGTACATAGAGGCAGAAGGCAAGATATGTATGTCCATCTGGTTTGGACGTAATTCATTAAAAGCGCACTTGGTTTTGACATGATTAATTAAAAGCGCACTTTTTATAATACATATGTACAAACAAAGCGACAGAAAAAATAAGGAACATATTATATGATGTGGCATAGCCAACACAATACAGTGAGGCACCTGAGCACTATATAAAAAATAATTGCAGAAGACCTAGCTGGTTGTGCCATTGAATCTAGTCTTTACAGCGTTTAAAGTTTGTGCAAGGTCAGTAAAAAAATTTGTTTTGCTCGCTAAAACATGAGTTGTTGTAAGAGAAGAGTAAATGTATGCTGCTTGCACCCTGTTAGCACAATTTCCACATTTTTCTCAAAGAGGCTATCATTGAGCAAACAAACTTTACTGCCTAAGCTGATGGATGGGGCTGGAAAAAGCGCCCAATGGTCCACTGCCTGGGACAACAAAGAGAAAATGAGGAAGCAGACAAAGCTTACTACTTGGCTTCCCTGCAGAGAGGGCATGAAAGCAAGTATGTTTGTTAGCAGAAAATTGGGATGGGCAGCTAAAATGCAACCCAGGTGGACATAAAGGAGGCGGCTTTCTGCATGCTGGGCATAAGGATAGAGCGGTGCTTGTGACGGGTCCTGGGAGGGCACTTCCCCGAGCCAGTTGGGCATGTGGCTGACGGCCGGCACGGGTACATGCAGGCATTTACGAGGACTACCAGCTGCCATACTACGACCTGGTGCCTTCGGACCCAACAATTGAGGAGATGCGCAAGGTGGCGTGCACGGACCGCCAGAGGCCGGCTTTGCCAAACCGGTGGCAGTCATGCGAGGTACTGTCGTCCATTTGGTGCCGTGCGCTCGGGCTGCTTGTTTCTGGGCGGGCTGGATATGCTGACCCACGGTTGTGCACGCAGGGAGGCACCGAGCGCTTTGGAAGGGGGCCCTTCCAAAGTAGCCGCCACATCCTTAGCGCAAACAACGGAAAGTGTGAGCGAAATAGGTGAAGAAGGTCTTTGTGTGTTATGTGGTACTCCTCAAGATTCGGAGGCGTGCGAATCTGAGCACTTTATATGGTTGCTTCTTGGCTGCATCCATCATGAGTGCAATGAGCGTAACATGCGAGGGGTGTCAAACATTCGCAAACCAAAGGACTTGGTGCTGCTAGTGGATTGGATCGCCCCGACTAAAGTGACAGCTTGCTTAGTGGCTCTGCTTGTAGTTGTGTGACTGCCAAGGCATTTTCTGACTTCCGTTGGGGTCTGGGTTGTTTTGGTTTTGTCAGTTTAATTTTAGTACCGATTAAATGGAGTAAATGAAAAAATGCATTTTGATTATCTGAAGAATTTTATCATTGGCTAAATGGGAAAGCAGGGTTGCCTATATAGTTTCATTCATCCATAATTTTGGTTTTACCGGGTTTCGTTTAATTAAAGTCCACTGTATTTGCACAACTATTCTGTACTGGGTGGCCGCTTGATGCTGGTCCTGGGGATTCCTTCTGTTATATTTTGCACATTTGTTTTTCATGGCCCCCGTATTTGCCAAAAGGAGCTGCCAAGTGTGAGCATGGCTCATGTTTCTTGCTCCCCTTGTTTGTAGGCTCTGCGAGTCATGTCCAAGATAATGAAGGAGTGCTGGTACCACAACTCGGCAGCAAGGCTCACGGCCCTTCGGATCAAGAAGACCATTGCCAACCTGGGTGCCCAGGAAGACCTGAAGATATGAAAGCGTTGTGGCGACAATCTGTGTGCCTTGGCAGACGGACCGGTGCGTGCTTGCCACACTGGTTGGGCCTGCTGGCTGACCAGGGACCGGTCGAGTGGACCCCTCACATCCTGGAGAGTGTGAATAGAGCTCGTGCCCCGGAAGGGTTTCCAGAAAAGTTGAGGCATGTGCGCTTAGGCTCACCGCTGGCTGCTCCATGGCCAGGGTGACCCTTCCGTATTCTAGGAACTCTGAAGTCAACAAACTTGCAAGATTCAAATAAGCTTCACGCACAGGTGTGCGAGCAAGTCTGGGGTTAGGACTAACAGCCAGCTGACTGAAAAGCAAAGAAGAAAAAAAAAAAAAAAAAAGCTGGCAGAGAACATTTTGGAACAGACATCTAGGAGTGTAACCCTACATCCCTTTCAAGTCGTGACATGTTTTACTTAGTGTGCAAGGCAACCAATGTGATTCTGTGACTGGGATGCTCTTACTAAGGGAAGTGAGAAAAAGAAGTTGATATATGGAAAATGTTTAAAACAACACCGCACCATCATTAAAGCCATTTGAATTTCATGGCAGAATGTGGCTGCACTGCCACAGGCATGGTGGAGGCATTTTTCCTGTCACTGTTAGCCCTGTTTCTTTTTTGCCTTCCTCCCCTTTTGGGTGGTACCTTTACCAGAATGGCAGACCGGAAAAACTTGGAACAGAGTGGCACAGAGTGGCATATCGTAGTGGGGGTTGAAATCGGTCAATCTTCACATCTGTATTTTTTTATTGGTCCCTAAACAAAAAGATTCTCTTTGCATTGCATATTTGACTCGAGGTCTTGGCCCCTTTATCCCGTCTGTGGTTCTGCTAAGCAAGAACGTTCAGAGCAGGGGGGCAGGCAAGGCGGCTGACACTTTATTCTGGGTAGCGAGCATCTGTAAAAATTCTGGGCGTTCCAGCTACTATCCAGTTTTATTGGAGAGACTAGCCCCTACCCTTTGACCATTTTTGCCCGTTGGGGGTTGCTGCGCGTTTCGGTGGTCTTGTGCCGAAGGGGCTGATGAGTGCACGAGGGGTTAAGCGTTGTGTTGGACAGGGAGGATCCTGGACACATGGTGCGTGCTACTTGCCCTTCCTTCCAGTCAGAAGAGAGCACTGCCTGATATCGGAGGAAGCCAAAGCTGCCTCCAAAGCATGCCGTCCTTACCTTTTCTTTTTGGCTCTGAGCTGCAGGGGTTGGACAGTTTGAGAATGCTTGCATTGCGAGGGTCAGTTGTCCTTGGAAAATCAACCCAAATGTTTTGCACCCCTGTGGAAGCTGGAGGTGCTTGTGGTGTCCAGAACTTGCGACCCTAAGTTAGTAGTTATCCTGTGCTTTTTGGTGAGTGCCCATTATACATGAAATGTGAAATCCAGGCACTTGAGCAAAGCCTTCGTAGTCTGGCCTCCTAGGAGTTGTGTTGCTCTTCCCCGATGCGAATGCATGGAAGATTCTTGTGCCAACCCATTCTGCTCTTTGGAATGCATGCCCTCCGATCTGGGGCCTTTGAGACTGCCTTGCCACCCGATTCCTCGAGACAATCTCTGTGGCCGACAACCCACCCTAGGATCTGTTTTGGGGGCTACTGGATGTGTCTGAAGCCCTTGACCTAAACGTACAGCCATTATTTCAGTCTGTGGTCACATGCGGCCGAACGAAAAGAAGCATGTACATTACCTGAACACAAGCAATGTTCTCTATCTCTAGTATGGGGAGGTGTTTGCAGTGCAGAGGAGTTTCAGATTCCCAGGAAGGAAAAATGGGCAAATCGAAGGCACCCTGGGTGTGAGTGACATGAGGGTGTGGGGTGCACGGAAGCTGCACCCGGGGTTTGCTGACCCGCCTCTGTCCTGGCATCCCTAAAATGGTCACGGACAGGTTCTTGCGCTTCTGTGTTTTGCGGCTCACATCTTTGCTGGCAACAAGCAGTGCTTGGTGGCTTGGGGATGACATGTTCCCATGATGGGTGAAGGATGAAATGATCCCGGTCGAACCAGTTTCAAGTGTACACCCAGACAAAATGGTCTTGAGTCACTTTTTTTTTTAGATATTTTGGATAGTATCTGATCTGATGTTTTAAAATGTTTGCTGCTGCCAATGTTCATTCAACACAGTCAGTAAGCATTTATTGCGCTCGAGTGTTTTGCGATACATTCTTAAGAGAGCGACTAGCAAAGAGCCCTCCTGCTCAAAAGTTCTCTAGCTTCATGGCATTAGAACGAACAATACTAGCAATACCTTCCTGAAAATCGCAATTAATGTAGACTTTCTCAACACTGTGAACTGTCCACATTTAATTATTGTTTTAGTTACAAATAAAGAATAAATGCTTGGAGCCGATGATGATGAAATTAATATAGCAATCCGAACAATGCTTCACCATTTACGAATTAACAGCCAACTTCAGTCGACTGGGCAGACAGGTTAATGTCTCCCTGTTCCGCTATATGTATTTCATTACCGATCTTTCAGTCCAATCTGTAAACTCCGTGTTGACGTTGAAATGTGTGGACATTTAAAAAAAAATGGGGTGTGTACTAGTTCCCTTACAAGTTGAATGCAAAAAGCAGCACAACGGTAAAAGGTTTGTTGCATCTGTAATAACATTGTAGTTCCACTATTTGTCCTATAAGTATGTGTCTATATTCATCAAGCTTTTTTTGTTTTTGTTTGCCTCTTTGGCTAAAGCACGGGACCGAAGTATGCTTTAAATACTACAAAGTAAATTTTAATATGGGGACATTTGGCAACACTAATACTCAAACATTTCCTCGTCTATACATTCAATTTCTATGAAGTATGCACAATCGACAAACCCCCAATGAGCAAGAAAACAAGGTCTCGAAATTCACTTGGGGACTTTTTTTGGTTGGGACCATTTTGGCCGGGACCATTTTGACCAGGACCATTTTGTCTGGGGCCATTTTGTTTGCATGCTTCCTCACGATGTTTGTGACCACATTTCTCTGCATCGGTTGCTGTGTGTTGACTCATCTTGGAGGGCTCATTTTCATACCCCTCTCATTGATAGAAAATCCATTGCAGTTTGCCTGTACCAGCATGGCTAGTGAAATAAAGCCATTGGCACCCGTTCTTCATGGGCTAATCACCCACCTTTCCTTTGGTAGTAGGCTCGTAGGTTGTGCACTTCCTTCAGTCACTGCTACTTAAGCCCCAATCGTTAGTGCACTTGTAATATTTATCTAGGTGGTCTGCAGTTTTTTCTACGGGTTAAGATGTCGGGTGTGTTGGCCCTCCTGGAAATTGGAACCCTCATTTACACTGAGAAACATGGTCGGGCTCAATAAGCTTCAATGTGCAGTGTAGCACCAATGTGCACTACTTGGTATTTGCTGATTGATGCTCTTAGGAACACTGCAGAGAAGCTACAACCCGAGACGAGAGGCACATTTATGATTAAAAGCCATTTGGTATTGTTTCTTGTGAGCACCAATGTTCATGATAAAGATAGTACTACTAAATTTTCTGGTAGTGTCCAAAAACGGCCATAAAAACCTAACGGAACACTGAAAAAAAAAAACAGTAAAAAGATACCAAAGCATTGACTTAATACATTAGGACACTGAACAGTTTCGCCCTTAAACAGTGTAAGCATTATTAGTGAATTTTAGGGAACCGTTTTTGCACCTTCGATAAGGTACGATAGGCCCTCCGCTACGAACTGCGCATGCGCTATCGCACGACATGCATATACGCAGTTTGTACTGGGGGCCCATCGTACCGTATCTACGATGCAAAAGCGGTTCCCTAAACCGCTTTGTTAAAAAGTTCTGCACGTCCGATACTGAACGACGGGCCCTCCGGTACGAACTGCGCATGCGCTGCCGCAGAAGGCTCGCATACGAGCAGTTCGTACCGGAGGGCCCGGCCCCGTCAGCCCCGTCGTACCGTATCAGACGTGCAAAATCGGTCCCCTAAAACTCAACACAGTAGAAGCATTACTAGGGAGTTTTAGAGAACCGTTTTTGCACATCCGATACGGTACGATGGACCCTCCGCAGAAGACTCGCACATGTAGTAGCCACCCTACATGTAGAGAGCCACAGAGCCGCCGACACCAGCCGATACAGAGCCGCGGCAGCCGCGGCTCTGCAGCCGATACTGCCCTGTGCGCCCTCTCTCGGCGCCTTCCAGAACATCGGACGTTCTTGGGCCGCGCTGGCCGCGCGGAGCAGCGCCGTTCGGTTTGTTCACCGTTGCTTCTCACGTTGCTTGTGCAGGGATTTTGTCGGAAGTTGGAACTTGGTGACTTGGTTGGTTGCAGCATCCGTGCGGTAGGCTAGCTGTATTTTCGTACCGACCACTTACATTCGTAAAAACGATGCCAGTGCTAGTTATATATCAGTTACCACGAAGCTCTTCAACAATGCGAGGCAAGACGTAGGAATCTTGGGCAGTCTCCAAGTGAGTTCGCACTTGTGTCGTTCTTGTTAGGCGTGTGTCCCGGCCAGCGTGGTCCGGACAGAGTGTTCAGCTGAGGATCTCTGAGCATCTTGCCCCGTTCATATGCTTTCGACTGACCTCGTTGTGGGTCTGACTGTTGCCGAGGGCATCGCCTTGCGAAAACCCTCGGCGACTGTGTCATACTCCGCTGCATGCGGCCCGTTTTTCAAGTGCTTCCCGAGGCTGCGGCCAAAGTTCCGCGACTGCCAGACTCGCGCAACCCGAAGCTCCACCGACACTTTGGGGTGCAGCGATTGCCAGTGGTAGGAGGCGCGATTCCAGTATTTCAGAGCCCGGCAGAACATGTAGCTTCCTCCTGCCTGACACAGAGGGTGTGTTCAGTAGTACAGTTTTGGTGTTTCCCCGTTCAAGAGCGAGCGCATTGTTTTTCAGTTGCAGGGAGCGTTTGGTACATTATTATCCTAGAGGCAACGGGTTACGATGCCGGCAAAATCATGCCTTGGCTGCTCGCTCGCTCTGGTCGGTGGTTTCAGGGGCCCCGTTCTGAGTAGAGTGTGCTCGAGACCGAGGAACTGTGCGGTGGTTGTTAGTCGCCGATGAACTGATGCTTTTTCCCTTGCTTTCCTTCTGCCAAGCTGGCCAGGAGGATGTAGCCAGATGGCTGCCCCCTCGGAAGATCGAGGTATCACCCCTCTTTCCCTTGCCGCTGGTCGCGGGAGGTTCGGCTTTTGACTGCCTGTTGTCAGATCGATGCTTTGGGCCTGTTACTGGTTTGCCGAGGCACCAGCAGGGAAGCCTGCTTTGTTCTTGATGCTCACACTGTTACCGGCGAGCGTCGCTCAATGCCAGAGGTGCACTTGCAAAGAAGAGGCTCATAGCATCAGCTTTAGGTGTTGCATGATAGCAGCTGTGGTCATTTTCTGCTTCCTTGGTTCTCTTCGTTGCCTCCAGCATCTGGTAAATGCTGCAGTGTAACGATACATTTAATGCCTGGTTCCAGTAACTGCCTGATAATTGACTGGCCAATGTGGTACGATTGCTTCCCCTGAATCTGTGTCTGTGGGATCCAGATAGAGTCACTGGTGTTTATAAGAAGTGGTAGTCTGTGGACTGGCAACAGTATTATGTCCCTTTTCACTGCCCCAAACATGGCTTGTGCTCCTGGCGGGGGGTAAACATTGTTCGCATGCTGAGAACACTCCCAAGCGTACGGCTTTCCCATATCTCATTTCACCCGAAAAATGTAGTAAGTGAGGGCCGTAGCGCCAAGATTTTGCTCGGAAAAGCAATTCACCCCTGCAAGCAAGAGACTTTTAGACAGCGCCCTGGTTTAGGTCCTACACCTTAAAGGGAAACTGACAAGGTGTTTAAGCTCGCCAAGATTTTTATTTTTACATGACATATGAGAGCCCAACTACCCAGAACACAATTTGCTTCTCGAAATTTGTTTTCTTTCCATCCGAAAACCGCCGATCAAGAACCGGCCAGTTTGAGTCGTGCTCACTCTCTTCTTCATGGTCACGTGCCGTTTTCTATGGTTTAGACACAACCACCAGAGATAATCAAAGTCCTGGGTTATCGAAGGCACACACATAATGCTAAAAATAGACAAAAAATATGATACCCATTTTTTGTGGCTTGTAAAAAACTGCAAATACATTGACTGAAAAAGAAAAAAAAAGTTACACAGCCACATAATTTCTGGTATCTTTCTCCACCTCTATATTTCTTCTTCCCCAGTCCAGTTTCGGTTTTGAGCAGTTGCATTTCTTGACTTTATCAAAAATATATGTGACGCTGTAGCAAAATATTGATTGGGTAGTCTTCTGACACCATAATAGTTCACCTGGCAAAAAACCAAACAATTTTGCGGGGTGTCAGTGTCCCTTTAAGTCAAATGGAGCACAGCATGCTTCCACTGCACGAGCATGTGCACCATAGAATCCTCTTTCAGAGAACTTGCGCTTGGAGCTTTCACTGACATGCTGAGCAGAGTGTGGACAAGCAATGGTACCAATAGCAGTGAAAATATCATCAATTGCTCATCACATACGGAATGACAAACTGCACCGCTCGTTTGCCTTTGGCAGCAATAGACGAAACCGGTGCTTCTGGGGCTGTGCAGTTCGGCGCATTTGCAGCGGCTCTGGCAGGTCGTCTCCGGGCTATGGGGTGGGCCGGTCGGCCCAGGCTTGGCTGTCGCGCGCCATCCACAACCTGAGTCCCAACCTCGCTCGCAAGCTCCAGCCGAGCCCCGACGTAGTGGAAGCCAGCTGCAGGTCGTTGCGGGGTCCTCCAAGCGAGGCAGTGCCCAGGCCTCGCAGGAAAGCCCCTTCAGAGTCAGCCACCGGTAAGCACCTCACGGATGATGCAGCCGTTGGTGCGGATGATTTGCTGGCGGCTCTAGGCAAGCCTTGATGCCTCCTTTCACGACTCTGGGACTTGTCTGCCAGGGACTGTGAGGGTTTCGTCATGAGTAGATGGATTTAGGGGCCTTAGTGACCTTTGTTGAGGGTGATGACTTAAATAGTCATCATGAAGACCCCGAGTGAAGTTATTATAAAAAGAAATGGATTTAAAGAGTGACATATTCAGTTATACAGTGAGAGGAAAGATGCTAAATTTAAATGTGTTTGTGCAAGCAAATATGGGAGTAAAAGAAAACTTGGGTCTTTCTAGCGTGGTTTTTGATTGTCTTAAGTTTCACTGGCCCCATTGCAAAAGAAACAAACCTTAATTGAACTATTGTTTTGTATTTTATTAGATTGCATAAGGTGTGTGGGTGACCAGGCCTTTCATATTTTCCATAAATCTAGTCAACAGCTATGCCACTGGACCATCTCCAACGGCCATACGTCTGTAAGAAAGAGAAACAAGCCAATCATTTTCACACTTTTTTTTTTGTAGAGGTAGGAACATATATTTCTATTGCATTCACTAATGACTTTGAAGCACAGTGTCATTCTCTCTTTGCTGGCATAGCATTGTCCAGACAGCTCTACACGGGCCTGTGGCAAGCATGTGTTCGGAAGTGCTCTTCTTAAGATTTCTACCTTCCAAGCATTTCTAATTACTTCCTGGAGAAAAGATCTGTTAAAGATCTTGCATATATTGCTGTGCAAGATTGTGGTTGGCAGTCAAGTCATGTGAGGAGGGTTTATAGACCTTTACATCCCTGTAGTTACCTGACCGGCGGATGGAAGGCACTGGTGCAATTGCCGCATTTGGGGTGGCTTCAGTTTGGTTAGTTTCGGTTTCAGCGTGCTTGCGGCTGTGTCGGCGTTTTATTTACGTAATGTTTCAATATAAATATGTTCGTTGTAGAACACAACCAATAGAACAGTGGTACTGAGTCCCTTGAGAACTACAAAGTGGTTTGGAGTCATAACTGCAGATGTTTTTTTTATGAACACTACGATGCATCTGGTCATGCTCGTCGTCAATTTCAGCTAGTTTAGGTGGCAAAACGACTGAACTGATGCACGGGGAGGGTTCTATATTCTATGGCCGTACCCTAGTTTCCAAAACTTCATTAACCTGTTTAAACAACTTTTTATTTGTTGAAACAGGTGCACTTAGTACATTTAAGCCACCTCGGTGGCTCCGAGGCGAGAGCGCTGGCCTACGGATCCCCATGTGGCGGGTTCGAATCCCGGCCGAGGTGCCCGCAATCTGACGGAGGCTTATTGCGCAGAAGGCGCAACCGAGCTTTCGGTTGCACGTCAAAAGATACCCAGGTGGTCCAAATTATTCCTCAGTCCTCCGCTGGGGCGTGCCAGATGCCCGTCGTTGGTTTGGCACGTAAAACCCCCAAATTTGACTTTTTGACTGAGTACATTTATGTGACACCACACTTAAAGTGGCTGGTGACATTCACGGTACCTAGTGGAGGCATGAATAACTAAGAAAGTCTAGTTTACATTCCTGATGGAAGATGGTGCAAGTCAGAATTGCCAGGTAGCCCCCCAATACTTGACCGTAATGGAGCAATAGGCATGTCGGGGAAGCCCTGACACTTGACCAGAACCAGAAAGTTTTTTGTCGGGACAGTCTCGACACATGATTGCAAAAGGTGATGAGCTGGCGAGATGAGCTGGCGATTTGCAGCACTTTTGTGCACTCTTAGTCCAGCCCCTCTGTGAGAACTTGGCCTGGGAGGGTGCCACCGTGCGGTGTGCAGGAGTTGGGAGTGTGATCAGAGTTTACCATCTGCATTCTGTTCGGTGCAAAACGGGTTGAGTGGCAAGTGTCTCCAATGCATGTTTTAAATGTGCAAGAAGGCCCAGCAATTTTGGCCCTTTTTTAGTACTATTTGCTTTCCAGTTCGCTTAGGAATTGCCTCGTTCATTGTTTAAGTGCGTTAGCCACAAAATAGCAATCGTTATGCATGTCCCCATATTTGTGGGCTTCATTTCTTCATGATAATGTGGCGTTAAATTCTTGCAAAAAGAGAGCGGTGTGTCGGGTCGTTCTGTCAGCTGGGGAGCGACGTCAGAGTGGGTTTAAAGCCGTCCCCGTGTTCTCTTTTGTGGCTCCGGTGTCTGCATATGAGCACGTTTGTGATCTGCCACGAACGTCTTCCCCCCAGGCGAGGCGAGTGCAGCGCCCTTACGCGACCATTGCCTGCCCTATGGGGGCCCCCCCGGGGATGCGGGGGAGGTGAGCTGCGAGCGATACGGAGCCGCGCGGCTGCGCGAGGTGTTGGCGGTGCTGCGGAGCGACCTGGGCTCTGAGCAGAAGCTAGTGGCCATCAAGCATGGACGTGACCACTGGCAGCGGCTAGGGGCGTGCCCCCGCATGGAGGCTCCGAGCCCCGTCGACCAATCGGCAGTTGGGGAGGCGGCGCGCATGCGGCAGGACACGACGCAGCTGGTGCTCGACAAGGGTGAGAGTGCCGGCTGACAAGGGGGCGCGAGCTGCTGCCAGTTTCACGAGGCTCGGCCGTGTGCGTTCATCCATTCGTTCGGTGCAGTCTCGTGTCTGGCAGCGTCCGAGCCTGTTGGGCGGGGTGACCGCAACCATTCTCACTCTGACGTCGGGAGTTCAAAGGATGTCATTCCCCAAATCCACTCTAGAAGTTTTGGTGGTTGTTAACGGAATGTCTCGAGATGACAAGGAAACCCTGGCTTAGCAGTTTACCTGCAGTATGGTGCCTGGAGCACGTCTCCGACTGGTCTGTTTACCGCATTCTCAAGTGTGGTCCCTTAATTTCCTCTTGATGACGTCGTAGAATTGTCACTGTTGCCTATTGTGATCCTAGCAGTGTTCCAGCAGCATAGGTGGCTACGGCAGGTGCCTGTTTTGCTATAGCTTGCTCTTGGCTCGGCAGTCAATGGAAACGTCTGCAGCAATGAGGTGGGATGCTGCAAAAACAGTGACACCTGCGTTTGCTCTTCTTTGCCGGAACTTCTACGATCAGCTGCCAGGATCGCAATATCTGACAGTATGACACGCTGGCTCGTTAAATGTAATTTATTGCCACTCTTGATGCCTAGGCGGTGTAGGATGCTAAACTCACCGGTCGTAAAGCTGTTCGAGGCACAGTACCCGCAGGTTTGTGCGGGTCAAGTGCATGTTTCTATGCATATTCGGCGTTTTACTGTGTCATACGAGTTGCATTTAAAAAATTCAGACATCTTTTTTTGTCAAGGAATGTGTGCCTTGGATGGTCTAGAACTTGGAAAATATTTCATGTTCTCTGTCGTCGCCACATGTGACCAAGTGAAAGAGAGTAGGAACTACCGCAAACGCCCGATTTTCGACTGGAGGTTTTTGCGCAGAAAATGGCCATATTTCGAGCCACAGCTATGTTCTGTGGGTGGCTGGACTCTTGAAGGTCGTGTTTCAGTGAAGTATGACAAACATGAATACCTTGCCAGTTTCCTTTCAACCCTTTAACTTTCGTCGCCGTGCATGAATGGTGGTGATTACATATTAGAAAGCGCGAAACTGAGCACACCGTGGGAGGTGTTGCTATTTGTTATGTCTTTGGTGAATTATAAACATTATATTCTTACGTTGTTTCGTTTTGCTGGGTTATTTATAGTTTTCAAACTAGACACTGCGCATACCGGCTGCAAAGCGACCGGTATGTGCAGTGATGCTCACTTCGCACACTGGCCGCTCTGGCATAGTGCCAATGGGAGCACTGGCTCTTCCGATTCAGACTTCTAACTTCTTTGAGTGGATGAGAACTCATTATTTGACGGAGAAGCTCTGTAAACTACCTCCGGTTAAGAATCTCAAGCCTCTGGAATATCGCAGAAGTGGACACGCCAATATAACACTGAATGAAAGAAAGGTGACAACTTTCCGCTTTCAATATTTTAGTTTGATGCTTCTAAACCTAAACAGCGTGCAAGCACAGTACGTGCTCCCGCTAAATAATTCAGGAAAAAGCAGTGCATTGACTCTTTTTTTTGCTATCTTTTTCTTATGCAAAACCCGACCACTGGAAAACATCTTTTGGGAAAATAAAACTTTACCGCCAAAGGGTTAAGGTAGGCAATCTTTCCTCTTCATTAATATCTATATGACAAATTTAACCTTTGGGACAGGCAACATTCTATGCACCAACTCATTGGTAAAAAACAAGGCGTGTGGTCACGTCACTAACTTTAGACGCCGCTTGTGTACAGAGAGCTAAGTAACGAAGGCGCGTGCCGAATGCCCACAGCTTGGGCGGGAAACACCGGAAGAGCATCGTTGGTACAGGGTGAAGTCGAGTGGATGAGTTTGTTTATAACTAAAATAAGTACCGTATTTTCCGGTGCATAAGACACACTTTTTTCCAAAAATTTTTCACGGTGCATCTTATATGTATATATTTTTTAAATTTTTGGCAAACTGAAGGAACTCCTGTTGAAGCTGATTAGTCTTTCTTTAACTATTATGACAGCATAATGCAAATGATACATCATAAATGCAAGTCAACCTCTCAAAACTAGCGTTCCATCAAAAAAAAAAAAAGAAAGTCAAGAAAACAAGAAGTAAAAAAATGACCGCATCTCCACGTGGTGAAGATGTGGTCATTTGCATGCATTGGCCCACTCGTCTATGAACGTTGAGGCAATGCATGCAAAGTTTAACGCGATTATATATGCATTTCACCGCAGCGCGCTCTCCTGTATAGACGTTGAGCGGCTACATGCAATGTTTCATTCATGGCATTCCCAGCTCTTGAGTTACTACCACATCTCGGAGCCCCCTACTCGTCCCGCAGTCGTGGCCGAGTGATTAAGGCGGTGGTCTAGAAATCCATTGGGGTCTCCCCGCACAGGTTCGAATAGTGTCGACTGTGCAAACTTTTTTTTTTTTAAGAAGACAGATGGGATGGCAATCGATGTGAGCACGGACGCCGGACAAGGCTAGACGCTAAGGAGCTTCGCCCCTAAAATGGGCGAAGCTCCTTAGGTGCAAGGTGCAGCCTTTGCTGCCGTCTGCTGACAGACAGCTGGTCTTCTGGGAAGTATGTGCATCGTCGGTGCTGTCAGTGATGGGATTGTTGCGCCATTTGCGTCACACTTCGCCAAAGTACTTACCCTGCTACATCTTGCTACATTTTGCCAAAATAAAATGAATTGGCACCAACATTGCTCAAAAACATAGTTTCACTTTATTATTACTAAAATATAGCGCAGGCCACGCTGCACGGACATACTATTTCATTAGGATTGTGTGAATTTTCAAAACTTTTCGATTATCGCCTCAACTAACATATTACTTGATTTGACCTTTGTGTCAAACGCTGACTGTACTCGGAGGCCTCTCAATATTTTGCATGTTCGGGCTTTGTTCTGGCAGGTTAGTCAGCTTCGTTGAGTATGCTTCTCGCCACGCCTTGGTGCACTGCAGTGAAGCGAGAACCATGGAGTAGGCGTCACAATTTTGCGTATTTTGCTTCGCTGTGCACACTTGTGTGCCAAGGGGAAAGCACTCCTCCAGAGCAGTATATTGCACATGTAGGTGTCGAGTGTATTAAAAAGATCTTCATAGGTGTTAATTTATTAACTCTACCTTTCAGTAAAGATTTCATAATAAAACTGGAGCAAGTATATGTGATGGACAGCAAAGTTGTTTTGGACGATTTTGTTTTTCAAATTTGAGATTTAGCAAGGATACTTAAACATTGTGAGGTTTATATGGACTGTTCTAGATTTGTCTTTTATGTGAACTCTCTATTTAGTTATCAACTTTATGTAGCTTCTATCTGTGCGATGGTAGTGAGCAGAATAAATTGAAACTAAATTGGTTGGGGCACTGGGTGGAAACTTTTTAATAACTTTGACGGGTTTGGTTAAATTTTAACAGGCCCGTGAAAAGAAAAAAAAAATGTTTGGTTTTTAAACAGTTTATTTAAGACACACAAATAAAAAAAATAATTTTTACTAAAAAAAATAAAAAATTTTAGAGCAATATTAAGGGCGAGAGATTTATTTCAAATTCTATGCGCAAAGTCTACGACGTCACGGAATGGTCATTTGCTTTTTCCACCTCAACGTGTTGGCGAAGCCGATCCACCTCTACTCCACTCGCCCGAAATGCCGAGAGAGAGGACGAGTGGACTACCGACTTAATCGCGTCTCGCGCCATCAATATTGCTCTAAAACATTTTTTTTGCCGTAAAATTAATTTTTTCACATGTGTCCCAACTAAATTGTTTACAAAAAAAAATGTTTTTTTTTCTTTTCAGGGGCCCTTTAAGAAAGCATAGTTTTTGTTCACATGTCGATTTTTGTTATCATGAAGTTCCATGCATAAAATGTCATTAATGTTCATAATTGAATCACACAAGCTTTGTTTCTATCATAAACATTGCAGTTTTATTGCAACTGTTAGAACTTAAATGAAACAAAAAATTTAGGTGCTTAACATCATGTTGCATCATTATTTCCATGGAATATATTATTTGGTTTACCTTTGACTCCATATTTAAAACAACCATTCACAGCAGTTTATACTGTCCTTCATCATTCATTATCTTGTTTCTGTGCCTGGTGTTTCTATTGAACACTAAACAGCTAGTTTTCTGTCTTGGGGTATCAAACCTGCCATGCAATTGTTGCTTATAAAAAGGTTGCACAGAAATCAGAAGGCAAAGTAGGCTGGGTTTTGTAGTTCGACGGGACATTGTATGAATCTTAACATATAATTAGGGTTCCGCGTTTTCGGTTTTTATTGTTTCAAAATTCGGCATACTTTTTTCGGTGTTTATTTTAAAATTAAATTTTCGGTTTTTTTCGGTGTATATTTATTCCCAAAAAGGTTTACCGGTTCTTTTTCGGTGAATGTGAAAGAAATACCATCGGACACGGGATCAGATGACCCTTGTAGCTCTGGTATTTGTGATCACTCAAAGAATGACGGCACATATACGTGCGTGGTCTTCGCTACAACTTCCGTCAGGACACACTTCAAAATCGCAGAATTCGCGGGCACAACTTCTTCAGCTCGCTTCTTTTTCCTTCCTATTCTGACGACGTGACCATCTGAGGTTGATGACCGTACAAGTCCAATGGAATGGCATAAAAAAAAATATTGCATTTATGTTTTTAATTAGAGGGAAGTTTGAGAGAGTGTGTTAAGAAAGGTCTTAATTGACGGCTTTCCTTGATGTCCTCTGAAGTGGAGGAAGCGAAAAACCTTACACTAGCCCACATCCAAACTTTTTCTTTAGGACCGGGGACTTGATACACTGAACACGATCACAGAAAGCACACAGATGTCGCGAAGGGCAATCCAAGGCCTCTTTTTTTACCAGTTAAACCTTGGAGGAGGGCAATCACGAAGACGTCACACAATGTTGAACCTTGCAAAATCCTCTCCCTCCACCCCTCCTTCCCGCACCCACCTTGACGCGGCCCTAAAAACGGTTAAAACCGAATT